AAAAAAAAAAAAAAAAATTACTTCAAAACTGTCACAGCAGAGTGACAGGCCCGCATGTGGGCCCTGCTGAGTGTGGGGCCCTCTGTGACTGCACAGGTCATTGTCCTAAGTCCAGGGGTTCCCAAAGCTGACTGGTCATCAAAATCACTGAGGAATTTCTTTTTTAAAAGCTGAGATATAATTCACATACCATAAATTTCAGCATCTTAAACTTTAAAATTCAGTGGGTTTTGGTATGTTCTCAAAGTTGTACAACTGTTGTCACTATCTTATTATAGACTTATTATACAACATTTTTACCACTACACAAAGCCCTGTACTCACCAGCACTCACTCCCCACTACCCCACTCTCGACCACCAGTCTACTTTCTGTCTCTATGGGTTTGCCTGTTCTGGACTTTCATACACATGGAATCATAAATTACATGGTTCTCTGTGTCTTCTTTCACTGAGCATATGTGCTGAAGGTCCATCAAGTCATAACATGTATCAGTACCTGGTATCACGTTATGGCTGAATAACATCCCATTATAGGTATTTACCAAATTTTATTTATTGATGGACATTCAGGTTGTTCCCACATTGGGGCTATTATAAATGCTGCTATGAACATTCTGGTACAAGCTTTTATGGGAATATACACTTTAATTTCTCTTGGGTATATGCCAAGGAGTAGAATTGCTGGGTCATATGGTAACTCTAGGCTTAACTTCTCAAAAACCTGCCACACTGTTCTCTGCAGTGGCTGCACCATTTTACATTCCCACACAGAGTATACGGTGGGACATTGTGAGCAAAGCGTTTGTGCACATCCTCGGCAACACTTGCTGTTGCCCAGCCTTTTGACTGCAGCCACCCTAATGGGTATGAAATGGTATTTCATTGTGCTTTTGATCGGCATTTCCCTAATGGCTAATGATATTAAGCATCTTTTCCTGTGCTTATTGGCCACTTGTATCTTCTTTGGAGAAATTTCTATTCAGATCCTTTGCCCATTTTTAAATTGGGTTGTCTTTTTGCATTTGTTGAGTTCTAAAAATTCTTTATATATTCTGGATACAAGACCCTCATCAGATCTAAGATTTGCGAATATTTTCTCCCATTTTGTGGGATTAACTTTTTAAAATATTGATTCTTCAGCCTTAAATCAGATCTACCAAATCAGCACCTATAAGCTAAAAAAGAAAAAAAGTTTTCCAGGTGATTCTGATGGCCCAGCAGGCTTGAGAATTAATGAGGCATCCAGCCCCAGTGCTTTTCAGACTTCAACGTGCATACAAATCACCTGCGGATCTTGACAAAATGCAGATTCTGAGGGAAAGAAAATTGCCACTAGAACATCACAGTCATAATTGTTGCAAATATGATCCATTGTAGAATGCCAAAATTTGTAGACCAAAGTTCAAGGAGAAAAGGAGTATCTGCATATGATCAAAGTATCTTCCAAAGCAACTCCCAAATGTTTATTAGTTAGAAAAGTGAAGACAGTGACCTTATAGTTCAGAAACCTAGCAGATTCCACCTTTATCAGTGAGCCAGACTAACATGCCCGGTAATGAGACACACTGACACCATGAGCCCTCATTCGATGCACTAAGAAAAGCACATCACCTTGGTGGTGACCTGCCCCCAAAACTGATAGCGTCAGTCTTACCAAGAGATAACATCAGACAAACCCAAATGGAGAGACATTTCACAAAATACCTATCCCAGTACTCGTTAAAAGTGCCAAGGTTATGAAAGACAACAAAGGCTGAGAAACGGTCACAGGTTAAAGGAGACTCAGAGACATGATGCTAAATCTAATGTGTCTATCCTGGATTGATCCTGAACAGAATAAGGACTTCAGTGAAAAACAGATGAAGTCCAAATAGTTTCATAGTTTAGTTAACAGTATGGTACCGATGTTAACTCTGTTAGCTCTGATGACTGTATCATGTTAAGTAACGTGTTAACATTAGTGAAAGCTCAGTGAATGGCATGAACTTGCTATTACTATTTCTGTAACCCTTCTATAATCTATCATTCAAACTAAAAAGTTTTTAAACTATGCAGATTCTGATACTGTAAATCTGGGTGGAAGTCTCAGATTCTGCCTTTATTTTTTATTTATTTATTTATTTATTGAGACAGAGTCTGACTCTGTCTCCCAGGGTAGAGTGCTATAGCATCAGCCCAGCTCACAGCAACCTCAAACAAATGGGCTCAAGCGATCCTCCTGCCTCAGCCTCCCGAGTAGCTGGGACTACAGGCGGGAACCACGACGCCCCAGTAATTTGTTTTCTATTTTAAGTAGAGACAGGGTCTCCCTCTTGCTCAGGCTGGTCTTGAAGAACTCCTGGAGTCAAGTGTTCCTCCCGCCTCAGCCTCCCAGAGTGCTAAGATTATAGGGATGAGCCACTGCACAGTGAGATTCTGGCTTTCTTTTTTTTTTTTTTAAATATGGAACGCTTCATGAATTCGTGTGTCATCCTTATGCAGGGGCCATGCTAATCTTCGCTGTATCGTTCCAATTTTATATATGTGCTGCCGAAGCTAGCACAGATTCTGGCTTTCTAACAAGTTCCCAATAGAGGCTGATGCTGGTCCACAAACCGCCTCAGAGTAGCAAAAGTTTAGACCAGTGGTTCTCAGCCATGCATCAGAACAACCCAGAGGGTTTTTAAACACAGATTGCTGGACCTTACTCCCAGAGTTTCTGATCGAGTGCATTTGGGGTGGGGCCCAAGAATCTGCATTTCTAACATGGTTACAGGTGAAGCTGATACTGATGAGCTAAGAATGGGTTTGTAACCGGCCACCCATTGAACAAATTTCAATGACCCCAATATGATCCTCCCCCTTAGCTAACTACTTGACCTTAGAGTTGTTTCCCAGAAATGGTGGATATTCTGCAAGACAAAGGAGCTGAGATTCTGAAGGCCTCTAAGCAGACTTCCTGACTGGAAGATTCACCATCCCCCACAAACCACCCCCAATGCATTTAGCCCCTTGAGAGATACACCACAACCTGCCTCCAGGCATGTGGCTCCACCTTTAAAAGCCCATGATATCCCTTAGTCCTAGGAATGGATTTGAGGCAGCTTCTCCTGTTCTCCTGACAAGAAGTCTATCTAATTATTCATAAAAATTCCTTTCTTCCTTGGCAATCCTCATTGTCTCAATAATTCCATCTTTGTGCGATCAGCAACTGGCCCTAGACAGAAACATAAGGTTTTGACAACAGCTTCTACACTTTTAAAGGGTTGTAAAAAATATTTAAAAACAAGAATGTGAAACAGAGATTGCATGTGGCCTTCAAAGCCTAAAATATTTACAGGAAATGCTCGTTGAGCCCCAGACTCCCTATTACTCAGAATGAAGTATTTATTTATTTATCTATCTTTAAGCTCCCAGAACAGTGAGAAAGAACGAAGCTGTTAAACAACACGAATGCCTAGGTCCCTAGTTAACTGATCTTGGCATTGTACTTTTTAAACGTTCCTCCTCAATTCCGA